AAGGAAGGAAGGAAGGAAGGAAGGAAGGAAGGAAGGAAGGAAGGAAGGAAGGAAAACTAATTCACAGAATGAAGGAAATAAAGAAACCACAGAGCAAAGAAAATCCTACATCGTTGTGTTAGTCTCATACATCGATTCCTTTTGGTTAAAACTGTATCTTGAGATTATTCTACAAAAAAATCACAGCAGCATGAACCAAAAAAATCTGTTCTTGAGATTTAAACAGACTACCCTGAAAAGTTCAGACAGGCCTAGGAGTCGATAAACTCCTTGAAAAGTCCCCTGAGGATGTCCCCTGCTTTTACCCCAAGTATTAGGTTGTTTTTATATTCAGATATTAGCAGAACAAACATTCTTAGCCAAAAAAGGAGAGAGTTTGCTTGGTCTTCTCCTTTAGATGTTTCACTAAAACTTCCAAATCCCCAAATGGGAAAAACTACTAACTAATGTGAGAAATAAATGACCTCAAAGGGAGGGTCAGAATAAAGTTAGGAAAGAAATAGAGTGAAATAAAACAAGTTCTAATTGCTTTTTGTTGGCTTAAATTGTAATCTACCTTACGTTCAATGGCTGTGGGACCAAAATTTTCAAGCTACCTCTGAAAAAGAAAAAAAACCTGTTCCTTTCTCATAAAATGAAATATGCATAGAAGTAATGAGAAGGGTCATTGTAGGAATATGTTAGCATTTCAAGACTGACCAGGTACCTGGTTTTATAGCCCACTCAATCTGCTGCACAAACACAATCCAAAATCAGGGACACCCTGTCCACTGTGTCTTCACAGGATGGGTGGTTTGTGATAACTCTCTCACACTCACATAGCACCTCCTTCATGACTGGCCCCTTGAGCACCAGCAGTCATCATCTACATGGCCAGGGCAGCAGAGTGAAACCTGGTCTTGAGTGGAATAGTTCACAAGTACAGCTTATTCTTGGTGACTTCAGGAGTTACAGGAAGGTTGAATAGCACAGGGTGATCCCACGCGTGCTGACCATTGGAGTGTTTATATCAGATAGCTGCCATGAGATGGATTGGCTATTTCTGAATCAGTTTATCTACTCAGATATTGAACAAGGGGGCTACAATAACAAAGCATGAAACCCAAACAGATCTTGGGACTAGAAATTAATATCATCGATAAAGACATGATGGATAATATGGATTACTCTGTTAATTTCAGTCTAAAGTGAATATACAGTGAGATGGGACGTGAATGATAATTTATCCTAAAACTTTTCTCTCAGACACTAACCTGGTGGGACAGGGCAGCTTCGCAGTGGGTGTAAATTGAATGTACTAACGCTTTCAAATATCCTGTATGTATGAAGCTAGCAGTGTTACCTTTTTCCTCATTTTGCTTTAAGCCTTTGAATAATTTCATGTTCTTATATCTCCAGTTCCTGGAAGAATAAGGCAACCTGAAAAGAACTTGCAATTCATTCATTAAACACAACCCAACGACCTTGGATTTATAAGCCAAATTAAAGGGGTTTATGTGATTGATACACATGTCAGTATATATATATAAGAGCCTCTGTATACTTGGGAGTCAGATCTCCTAATTCTATACTTACACAAGCCATGACAAAAAAACCCCCTACGGTATGAGCTTTGACAGCACTTTCAGGCAGTGCAGTTTCTCATGATGGTCATTCAGCCATTACCACTTTCCAGTTGAGTTTCATTACATAATTATTCAGCTCAAAGGTTAGGAGTTGGGCTTAGGTTTCAGAGGGTTGTGGACTGAAGAGCTAGGCTTGAACAACTAAATAGAGTGCTGAGTGGCACACTGAAAAACAGAGGTGTTTTAAGATGACCAAAGCCCAAATGGAGGGGTCTAGGGTGGCCCTGGAGAGCAAACAGGGGACTCTGGGGCACACTGGGAACAAATACATGGATCCTAAGTGTCTTAAAATCCATTAAGGCTAACAGATACTAGAAGAGCCAGAATGACTTATAGTTAG